GTCTTACATGACAGAGTGATCTTGTGCTCTCCTTTTAAGTCCATGGAGCTTCAGTAGTTGCTTTTCATTTTCTCTCCAGTCTAAACCAGTGACTCATCCACTTCTCTGTGTCTCCCAGATTTGAACTGGTGGGACAACTTTTGAGGTCACTTCTAGACATTCTTCACCTACTACAGCTTAGCTTCCAAAAGTGGGTGGTTGGCTTCTAGAAGCGTCAAGATCCTGCCTTGGTGGTTCCATCCTTTGTTTCCTTCAGAATAAAGGGTGCACGACTGAAGGCACTTGGTAGAGCAGATGGGATGATCTTGTTTCCATTGCTGCTTTTCACTTTATTCCAGACATTTGTGTGTGTGTGTATATGTAAAGTGATTATTATTGTCTAGAAATTTCTCAGCAGAATCTCGTCCCCATTGTGCTAGACATTGAAGTGAAAAAAAGTCTGCACCAAGATAGCTCAGAATTTTCATATATGTCAAGACACAACAGATTTGGGGGGAAGGGAGACACTATTTGTGGTAGCAGTAAAATAGCTAATGAGAACAGATGTCAGCTCACTGAAGGAAGTGAGGCAAAGACACAAGGCAAACACGATGAGAAGATTCAGAGGAGGGAGAAGTGGCATTTTGATGGAGCATTTATCTGTGCAAAGGTGGAAGGAAATGATTGGGGAAATCTACCAAGAGGCATCTTTTCTTAAAAAAAAACCAAATCTGGTTCCAGGGTGGTGTTGTTGCAAGTTCTGTAGTTCACTCTGTATAGCACTGTGGATAACTTTCTAAACTTCACATTTCACTCTCAAGCACTGGATGCCAGTGTGAATTTTAGATTGTTCCTTTGCTCAATTTGAACACTGATACAGTTCTGCAAACGAGATCTTACTCTGTTATAAAACTGCTGAATGAAATCATAGTATTTATGGGTTCTTTTATCTGCTGTTGATAGCATGTTGTTCTTTGGTGGTTTTGGATCCCTTTTTTTTTTAACAATAATGCTGATAATTATTTGATTTTGAGCCTATGGCAAAAAATAGTTATCAGAGTGGCTGTGTGGAGTCCATAACTTAATTTTCTTATATTCCCTGGGAAAAGGGGGAGTATAGATACCCAATTACTAAGTTTACTATGATACTTTTTAAGACCAAGCCTCCATGTTTCAGCTTTGTGGCAGGACTCTTAGAGATGAAGGAACCAGTTGTCCAAGTCTGAACTCACCCCAGTCTTCTGCCAATGGCTGTTTTCAAATGATGGAGTCCTGTCCTTTATGTCCCTTTTCACATGCTTCACCTTATTTTCCATCATTTTTCTCACAATATTCAATACCTTTTAATTAGTTATTCAAGAAAAGCCACGTGGATATTAGAAGTGTGGCTCCAGCTCTGGTGATGTAAAAATACAAGGATTATAGTGTGGTGTCCTGGCTGCAGTGATGCTGAAGAGAAGGGGCAAGAAGTCCTACCCTTAGAGATGATTTGCACTCACTGGCCATGCAGCCACGTGGATAAAATCTTCTCCTAACCCCAAACAGGCTTTCAGATTTCACCTTTACCCTGTGAAATGCCCCATGCTTGCCTCATCTCCTGGTTTCCTTGGAGAACCTGTGGCTCTTTGGATGTCTCCACATGTCAGTGCTGATGAGCGTGGCTCTAACCCACCAATTCAGAGGTGGCTTCATCAGTTGGTGTTGTAGCTAGAAAGCAAATGGGGAAAAAAAAACCAGCTTCAGAAGAGTGACTTGGAGTACATACAGCTCAGAGTTTGTGTTTCATCTTTCGTTGTTGGTTTCTGTAGGAGTTACCAAACCAGTTGAGCTACAGCACTGGCATGAAGCCAAATGAAAAATACAGTTTTCTTCACTGTAAACATGACTGTCAAGCAG